CCAGGCCTTCCTGTCCTTCACTGCCTCCCTAAGTTTGCTCAGTTTCATGCTCATTGCTTCAGTGATGCTATCTAACCATCTCATCTCTGCCGCCCTCTTCTCCTTTTGCCTTCAATCTTTCCCAGCATCAGGGTCTTTTCCAAAGAGTCCTCTCTTCGCATTAGGTGACCAAAGTATCTGAGCTTGAGCTTGAGCTTCATTATCAATTTGCAATTAGAAGATGACATTGATTGAACTGTGTACTGTTCCATGAATGAAGCAGAATGAATGCAATAAAAGCATCATCTGGAAATAATTGCAGATTAAAAGCCTCCCTCAGAAATGACATTTACTAGGTGACTTTGGCACATGTTTGAACTTAAGCTTCTTGGGAAAATAATACTTCCATTGATCACTAGTTACATAGCTTGAACGTCATGGCGGAATCAGGAAATATCTGTGCAATAAACATTGTACAGTACATTTAGTATATTGTTTGTAATATAAATACTATACATTCAGTTTCAGGGTTGAAGAACTTAGTTTGCCCTCTAAAACAAAAAACTGAGCTGCCAGAGGCTGAGTTCCTGAAAACTAATTCATATTATGCCATGAAATTTTAGAAATGAAAGTACCATGGCTCAAATTACAACCTAGTTTGGTTTATAGTCCAAAAGCTCCTGTTGGCTAGGAAGCTAAGTGGGTGGCATGTCACTTACTTCTCATTGTAATGACAGGTTATTGTGTGGATAAATAGTTGGTTAGCTTAAAGGAGTTATAGAAGTGATAAACAATATTTTTCTTTTTTTCCTTCAGACTCTCAGATAGTCTAACCAGACTGGACCTAAAAGGAAATAATGTATAAAGTATTAAAGAGCAAGAATTAACACATTTAAGACATCTAAAGGTGTTAAACTGTGGAACAATAAGATCCGTTCTCGATTATAATCTCTTTAAACATTTGCCTCATCTCAGATACTTGCATCTAGATGGCAATGCATGCAACTGTACTTGTGAACTCCTCCAAACCAGAAGTATACTCACATCAAAGGCACAGAGGTCAAGGGGGGTCAGTGTACATCACCAGCAGAAAGCCAGGGTGAGAGCTGGATGTCTTCAAGAACAATCTTATTTTATTTATTTTATTTTATGTATTATATTTATATAACTGCCCACATAAAAGTGATAAAAGTGATCTTACATAAAAGTGACTCTTGCATTTGTCTGTATGTAAGAATCTTTATTCTATGGAAGAGGGAAAAGAAATAAGCAAGCATGCAAATGATGATATTTCCCATCTCAGAGTAAATATGGATGATTATGAAATAGATTAAGGGCAATCTAAGATACACTTCTGTAGGTATCTTTCCTCTAATGTGAATTTAATTCAGTCCTATTCAAGATCAGAGACTTTCCTGTTTCATTGTATGGAATCTAAATCAACTGTTCCGAAGCATAGTTGAAAGTAAGTAGTGCAGTTGTATTTAGGATCTGCTTGATTATCCTATTTGCATCAAATCAGGCTACTACAGTCTCTTTTCTAAAACTTCAGGATAATACAAAGCTAGTGCTGCACTGGTTAGTGATATTAGCAATATTCATTAAAATGTGTATAAATAATTAGTATACGAATGTGTGCATGCATCAATGGAGCACCTTTGAAGAGTATACTTTTCTAAGAAACATCTTGCTGTGCATTTATGAGATGACAAGTGATAAATAAGGATGCAAATATACAGAAGTTTGCAGTACACAAATTTTCTTATTGTTTTAATCCAGTGCATATTGACTCCTACAGTTCACGTTCACTCCTGATAAGAAATGCACCATTACAGGAGGTTTTTGTCTAATTGATTTTCCCAAGTTTGCAATCCAGTTTGAGCAAGAAGCAGATAAAGCAACCAGCCAGATATTTTGGTGTGCTGTTTAATCGATGGGCACATGGTGACCAAGCCACCGGAACTTTAACAATTCACACACGTCTGCCACTAGATGTCGCAGTAAAACATTAAATCCGTCTGTAGCCGCCGAAGGCAACCCAGGGTTTCCCTCCTCGGAGAGCCTTAGTTTCCTTTGGGGGGGCCACGTCATTTGCTCTATCGTCCCGGAAATGACATCACTCCGTCGCTTCGACCAATGAGCAGCGGCTGCGTAGGCTAAAGGGTAAAGGTCAGGACAGGCATCGAGATGGTGGCGCTACCGAAAGTTGCTGGGCAGATAAAACCGTGTCCGTGAGAGAAAGAGAGGCGAGATGGTGCTTTCCTCGCGCTGCGGCTGATCCGCCCTCAACCGCCGATCCTCGCTCTGCTCTTGTCGCGTCTCCCTCCGTCCAGTCCAATGAGCGTCGCGTACGAGCTGCTGTGGCGTTTGCTGCACGTCTTCCTCAGCGCCCAGCGCGCGCTGGTCGCCTGGGCCCGCGGCTGGTTCGGAGGTCGCGGCTCGTGGCTCAGCGGTTGGAGGCGGCGCGCGGCTTCGGCTGCCACCGCCGCCTCGCGGGCCCTTTTAGCTCCGGCGGCCGCCGCGAGCCCTTTCGCCTTTCACAAGCCGGCGGCGGCGGGGCGGAAGGTGGTGGGCAGCGGGGGTCGGTGGCGGAGGGATGTAAAATCTTTGCAGAAGATGCCGGGCCACGTGGGACTGGTCGTGACCGAGGAGGAGCAGAGCTACGCCGACGTGGCCAGCCTAGTTGTGTGGTGCATGGCGGTGGGCATCTCCTATGTCAGCGTCTACGACCACGAAGGTGAGTCGCCTGTCGTGGCTAAATTGCTCTCGCCCCTTTTCCGACGCAGCCCGTTTTACCTTTTCTCGGTAGCGAGGGCGACTTTGAAAATCCGGAAAAAGTTCTTCTGTCTAATCTGTTGATCTTAGTTATTAAATGTCATCTAACGCCACTAAGCTATGTTGAGAATAGGGAGAAGCTTTCCTACAGGGTATGTTTTCCTTGTTACATAGCATGAGCTCCCTACCAGCGGGTATAACTCATTATAGCAGAAATATTACTCTGTATATTCCCAGCACCACCCCCTCTCTTGCCACCATGTAGTTGTAGTTCAGGATTATTGGGACGGCCACAGATTCTCCATCTCTCTGGTAGGTTTAATTTTTTTTCTTCTGCTTGGTAATACATACTTAACTGATTAATCTAGATACAGTATTGATGCAAAGGATCCAGACTGAGCTATTTGTTTCAGCATCGTGATCTGAGTGTTATGCTTGATCCCAGAGTTTTTCAAACTGTTTTATGGAACCCTATGGATCTGCAAAGCACTATCAGAATGGTATTTACAGTTCATCTTCTGTTAAGCTCTCAAAGCAGAGAGATATAGATACTATATTATGTCATCCCCCCCACCCCGGTACTGGGCCTATACACATGCAAGAACTTGAGGGGTTGCATGAGAGACTAAGGGCAAAAAAAGAAAAGAAAAAAGTTAACTTGAGCACAGCAAACTTCTCTCACTAGATGAGTGAGGGTTGTTGCCAAAAGCAGCAATAGATGATGTAGTTCTGCACAGACTTAATTTCACTTTATTTGTTATTAAGATTCATGTGACTGTGTGGCTCAGGCTAACATGCTGATATGTCATACAGTGAACCAAAACAAAATCTTATTTTTCATATTTGAATGCATTATAGGTAGTCCTCGTTTAGCGACCACAATTGGGACTAGCAACTTGGTCAGTAAGTGAAGTGGTCACTAAGTGAAACCGTGACTCTGCTTACAATCTTACTTCAGTTTGCTTACAATCTTACTTCAGTTTTCTTTGCTTTACAGACCTGCAAAGGTCATAAATGCGAGGATTGGTCATAAATTTACTTTTTCATCACTGTCATAACTCTGAATGTTTGCTAAATGAGGCAGTTGCTAAATGAGGACTACCTGTAAAGATTGGGATCACATTTTATCAACAGCATTTTAATAGGATCAGTCTACAGGATGAAGTTGACACCCAGGAGAAGAAATTAAAATCCTGTTTAGTTTAAGTCATATACAGTAAAGAATACTATTGGAAAAACTCTGACAGTACAGTTATATCCAGTTTAAAATAAACTCTTCACTTTTAGGTGAAGAAAGCCAATGTTTTAACATTCAGAATTCCTATATGTATAGCACCTTTAAGATATAAATGGGCAATTAGAATCAAGGTAGAAACAAAAACCAAAATTACTAAAGTTAAAGTTAAAATTATAGCCAAAATTATTAAAGTACAGGTGAGAAAATGAAGCCTTGAACAATAGTTGAGTGTAGTGAAAATTTAATTACATAATTATACCTCTTAAATGCATAATATACTTTCTTTAATATGAGCCAACAACTTTAATCACATCTAAATAGAAAGTGATTAATCTTCTAAAGACTTAGAAAATTGCTTAATATGTTAAGGAATAATTACGTGCATATTAAAAATGGAACACTATTTAAAGAGATTACAATTGAGAAACATTTGCATTTTCTGTTTAATAAAGATATAACAGTTCTTAATTTCATTGAACTCACATTTATCTGCCAACCTCTGCCTTAAAATCTCTCTTTAATTCAACATCATAAAAGAATGTATACTAATCAGAGGTTACTTTGGCCTGAAACAAAATTCTGCCAGATTTTATTCAACCTTTTGATTAGTATACAGTTTTTCATGGTGTTGAGCTGAAAAGAGATTTTAAAGCACAGGTAACTTACTGTTGGCCTACATGTAAGAAAATCTGTAAACTATAGAATTACATCTAGGGAACATAGAAATGCTGCTTGAGAATTGTACTTTGTGGCTAGATTATTCTGCTTATGGGCCTTCCTGACTCCTGTTATCCTTGCGGCAGAACTAAAAAAGGTTTGGGAGAATGCTAGAGAACCTGAATGGGAGTTTAAATGTGAAAAAAATAATGTAATATATATTAAAAGAAAAATATTCCCCCCCCCCTTCCCCCAGTTTAGCTGTTTCTTATAGAGATGCAGGCCATGAAGGTTGGGACAATATGATTTTTCAGGAAGTTGCCTAGCTGTCTTTTAATGCTAAATAGTACATGTACATTATGTACATCCTCAGATGCCTAAGTAATTCTTTACACAAATATTCTTTAAAATATTATATAATATATAACTAAAACTAACTTAAAACTGCCTGACTGATTTTGTCTGGGCTTAGAAGCTAAGGAGGTATGAGCCTATTTATTACACAGATGAGTGGCAAAGGGTTAGACTAGGTAGTTTAGAGTCTAATATAAATTCAGTTTGTTTCATGTCTAAGCTACTCAAAGATTAAAGAATCTTAGTGATTCTTCCTACAGTTGATGAGACTGTTTTCCCATTTCTCCTTTGATCTATACAAATGTTTGTAAACACAGGAAGGTCTGTTGAAAATATTCTATACTAAAAAGGTTGAAAGCAGATTCTCCTTTACTGCAAAAGAAAGATGTAGTATCAAAAAATAAAACCAAACATTTTTGTATTAGCACTAAATCTGAATCTTACACTGTAAGTTTGAAATGAAAACAAAACTTTTATAAAAGGTACTCTAAGAAATAAGAAGGAATAACTAATTTGAGTAATAAAGTCATATGAATTTAAATCTTAGTGGATCAAGTAAACCAGAAAGTAATGTTTTTTCTTTTAAATGAAGCTATGTCAGCTTAAAATAAAGTTGACAGGTTGTTCATTTGGATCTAGCAGGCAAATTTTTAAAAACTGCACGGAGTTTTTAGCTAGCTAGAACAAAAATTCTGAAATTCAACTCATTCACTATTCAACTCATAGTGTAGTCAGAACTGAAATTGTGTATCTGCTTGTCCTACTTTGTGTGAGTGTGTGCACACACGCATGCCTTCAAGTCAGTTTTTGACTCCTGGTGACAGCCTGGACAAGTCCCTGCAGTTTCCTTGGCAAGATTTTCAGAAGTGGTTTGCCATTGCCTCCATCCTAGGACTGAGAGAGAGTGACTGGCCCATGGTTACCCAGCTGACTTTGTGGCTGAGGCCGGACTAGAACTCATGGTCTCTAGCCCAGTGCCTTAACCACTATACCCAACTGGCTGTCTTGTTCTACTTGGGTACCTTTTATACTGTAGTACAGTGGCAGCAGTTGGCATTCAATGGAATGCTGCATCATTCTTATACTATATAGATATAATTGTCATTATTTGCAGATTACCATTTTAGTTTTGAGAAAAAAGAACTTGAAGGGTACATGCCTAGCTCAACTAGAAGGCCTGTATGATTCATAATATTTTATAGTGCAATGCCACTCTGCAGCTACTGTTACTGGTTCAGACCAGTATAACAGTGGTTCTTACCTGTATCCAAGAATGTGTGCTTGTTTTTTGTTTCTGTTTAAAACAAAAGCCTAGGTTAGTTATCTTTAATATCTATTGCTGGGGTGGGGGTGTATAGAGAGACAGATGACAGCTCAGGATAATCAAAATAATCTGTGACAAATTACATAATGAAATTAACCTTAGAATTTGCTAGGTGGAAGCTTAACATTACATCTTATTTAGAAGTTCTGATTTGCCTGTCCCTAATAAGCCAGAAGCTGAAATTCAGAATAGAAGCTAGCTTATGATTTGTCTAAGAATAAGTCAGGTATCAGGTTTGGACCTAATGCTAAGGGTTTTTTTCTTTCTATGCTGTTGATTATTGATGCATTTTCCTTTGGTGTGAGGAACTCTGTCATAGTAACATAGTGTAATACATTAGAATGTTTGTTCTAGAAGAATAGCCAGGATTCTCCCAAATTCTGGCCTTTTTATGAATGGTGTTGTCTGTAACTAAGGCATTTTGAGTGTGTGTGTGTACCAAATAGCAACTCTTCCATCCTATGTGTTTCAGCACTTGGCTGACTTTGGCTGTGGAAGCTAAGCAGGCTTAAGCCTAGTTAGTACTCAGATGGGAGATAAGAAATGCAAGGGATGTAGGCTAATCTAGATGAGAAAACATCCTGAAAGAAAGCAGTGACAAACTATTGACATATCCTGAAAATCATCAGAAGCTGAGTTCAACTCAAATGAGATTTTAACTTCACTATATTGTGCAACTGATGAGTTTCTAATATGGAATGCAGGAGTTTGTTTATAGGTAGAAGGGAGTGATGTCCTGAATTTTGTGGTTTTTGAAGAATTTGTTTTTAAAATTCTCATGGTTCTCACCTGGTGCTCAGCTCTCACCTGTGGCTCTAAGTAGCTGTAACATGTGCAGCAGCCACACTCCAGTAAACTGTTTTGGCAGATGGGCCAAACCAGGTGAGGGTAGCCAATGGATCTTTGACTCTCAGTGAGATAGGGGATTTGCTATCTCAGCTTACGAAGTCTGGTCCTGGCAGATTGAACGGAGGAGACTGATCAGTGGTCCAACAGTCAAGAAGACATGCCTAGCAGGCGTTGTAGAGCACAAAGAGCACGACAAGATACTTAGACGTCCTGGTCATCCACTGCAACAGGAGAGGTCTCCAGCCATAATGGTTCTCCATACCACTGGATTAAGGTCTCTTATGCCAAGAGAGTGGGACTGCCATGTGCAACGCCTGTTCCACTTAAAACTCCATCATGCACAGATTTCTGTTGTGCAATTCATCTTCATCTGCAACTCATCTGCAACTCATATCAGTCCAAACCTAATTTGTTGAGCCCTGTGGTGATGGGGCGGGGGCGGGGGGGTGAAGCAACAAGTGGAGATGACCACTGGCAGTTGTAGTCACAAATCTGCACATGGGTGGCCCTTGGACCAGTGGTCATTCATCTCAGTACCTGG